TACCGGAGAGAAACGGCACTACATCAGCTTGAACAGCACACTGAGCTGTAGGTGATGGACTCAAATTTTTCCCTGTATTCAATGCAACACCATCCTCCTTCCAACAGCTTTCTGTTCCTTCTGCTTACTCAAAGCGCAGGACAAAGTTTCTCATCGTATTACTGTAACTTCTACTGGGCAGAAAAGCTTATTGCAAGTATTTGCTTTATTTTCATGCTGGGAGGCAACAAGTGTACGCACAACATTAGCAAAGTGTTAAATAATTTGTTGCAGCAGCTTGAAATATGGTGTGATGCTTCAACTTGGTACACAATCCTATTTCAAACCCCAGTCCACATGTCTCTGCAAACAACATCACAACAGAAAGGTGTTCATGCTGTGCAAGTGGAGAAACGCTTGGTGGGTACCTCTTGCCTACCTCTCCCTTGTATCTTCCATTTAAAATTTCATCACAGACTGTGCAAACAGAAGCCTGTACGGCTCCCCGGACATGACTGAGATGCACCAGGATATTTTGAGAAGCAGGAGTTTCTCCCTATTTCACTCTGGAAAACTCAGTCGCTCTGGTTAGCTCCAGAATTCAAAGTCAGCCTGCACAGTGCAGAAGACTGGTGGAAAACCAGTACTACACCTAGAGACTCATGCTAGCACTTTCTGATATCTAATTGGGCAGTCATAAGTAAAAGCAAACACATAAAGGCAGCTTTTTGGAATCATTTATTAAGCATCGTTTATTACATGCCTGTGGCTGGACCTTCTTTCCCTGTGACCACAAGAACCAAATCTTCCTCAGAGTTGCCACCAGAGGACTAGTTACAGGCGTCAAACTCAGAAGGCTCTCCTGGTTTACGCTACTTGCTTGGTCTTTTGGTGTCAGTTTTTCACGGGGCTAAACGCAGCGCTTCATACGCTACGACTCCACTTGAATGAACCGAGACAAAGTAACCTGCAAAACAGACAAGGCTGAAACGTGAATACTCCAAACCCTAATGAAAATAAGAAAATGGTGAAGCTAACAAAACATGAGAACTTACTTGGCTGAAAAGGGAAAAAAATGTAAAGGAGCATACACCAATCTTATCCTCGAGGGAGCAATGACTGCAGCTGCTATACTGTCTCTTAAACTGACACTTGAAATGAAACAGGTATGATGCACTGAACTACAGCTGAGATACTGCATAACTAATTACAGCATATTGGAAAACATCAAAATTTGATGTAGGAAAACTAAACAGCTGACAGAACTCAGAACAACGCATCCTCTTGTGCTTAACTTTTATGGGAAAAAAATAGTTTTGTTGGAAAGAAAACCAGCTAAAAATTAAAGCCTATACAGCATTCTGGTCAATAACACACTAACAATGTGAAAGACTTGTGTCTGCCACACCTACTCCCTCCCCATTAATAAAATCTGGCAATATTTAACTGGAATAGCCAGACATTGTAACATGTGGGTCATAAATTAACAGGAAAAAAGTGCCAAAACCTCAAATGCAGCAGTCCACTCTTGCTAGCATCAACAGTTGTCTCTACCAGCACCTCATCAGCGGACCGTACTTGTACACAGGAGTGGGCTAACTGCCTAAGGATTGCCAACGGCCTCCAACCCCTAGTAACAAAGCTGTGGTACTTTGCAAACTTCTGCTGCGCTTCAGTGTTCCCTTTGCTTCTGTTTCTTATGAACCGCTTCCGAAATGAGCAAGAGCAATGAGTGAGATACTCCATATAATGCGTGCTCTTGTGCTAAGTGTCGTTAGCAGAAAAGGACTGTTTTATTTCTGAACCTCGCTGATGTAAATGTAAATATTGGAATAAATTAATATTGCTGTCAAGACAAGACTGTCATGTATGGTATAATCATAAAAAAGAAAATACCATTTAATCATCATATGCGTGATGTACGACCACTACTCCCCTTCTGTCACATGCTGGGCAGGCAGGGCAAAAGCAAAGCAGCAAGAAATCTACTTCTGCAATGCCCTGACCACAGGTAAACCCATCTGGGCAATTCTTTTCACATTCGGTCTCAAAATTAGGTTCCAAGTAGCTGGCTTACCTTTGTCAGCTTCAGTTCTTCAGTCTTCTTCCAGTAACGGGTTTCGTTTTTCCAAATGTTCGAAGTAATAGATCTGCAATACTGGGCAACAACGATTGTTGTGATGCAGGGAGATCTAGAACACTGGTTCTGCAAGTCCACCCACGCAGGTGAGATGAAAAAACCAAAACGAGATAAGGAAATTCCACTTGTCTGTGAAACACAACTGTACAGCTATTAAAGACAGGGAAGCAGGAAGATGAGAGGACCACACATGAATACAAAATACAGAAAAACCAATCAGGTGCCTATCTTGCTCTCCTGGAAGAGGTTCTGTTTGTCTCTAAACCTAGGCTTCATGCTGGGATAGGAAAGACAGCAGGCAAACCAGTCTAAACAAGTATTACCACACAGAAACCTGTGATTTATTTGAATGAAGGTTCTGGAAGGAAGAACATAGGTCACTGTATAATGCAACAATCAGAAAATCATTCAGATGCACTAAAGCACAGTCAGCTTGAGATCCTTTTTACATTAAACAGAGGTCTGGAATCACCTCAGAGCAATTTTTTGTCCCCTGGCCCTCCTAGTTCCCCATCTGGTGTTGATGTTTCCCTGAAGCTCCATCAGACAGCATCAGAAGTTAGTGCAAGCTGAGGAAGGGCTCACTGAAATATTTAAAGAGAGTTCAACATAACCCTTGGAAGCAAACAGTATAGCATGACAAGGAAGATTTCTATAACAATTTTGGGTTTTCATCCTACGTTCATACAAGAGGAATTGCAACATCACTTAAGAGTATCTTGCTGAAAACATATTTCAAGGAAGAACTGCTCTACTACTTAGCACCTAAAAATAAACCCAAATTCTCTCTCAGCTCTCGTGTTTCAGGTGCAGATCACCCCATACATTACCAGAACATATCTGTTACAAACACTGGCCCCAGCCAGGCCAATACACTACCGTTCCACTTGCATGCCAGAAGCAGCATAGTTTTGCTAATGGGGTTAGTGACAGCAATTTTTCTCAGAAGATAATCCCTTTTGAAATAAAAAAAAGGAAAAAAGACTCATTTCAGAAAGCAGCAGTATGCAGATATGTGTAACTACGAGTCCACACAGGAAAAAGCGTAACATTCTGTGACATTAGTGATCACGTGAGTTATCAAAAAACTAAACGTGCTTTTGGTAAATTTATTCCACACCACTTCAGTTGAAGAATCTTTTCTAAGTGGCTGCATGAAACCCACAGTATTCCTGCTTCTGCAGTTACATGAGTCAAATGTATTGGAAAAGTTTTTTTTCAAATCTTTTTAAAGAACTATTTTTTTTTTTCCAAACTTACCAATGACACATTCAGGTATTAAATTATTTTGACAACGGTTTAAGAAAAGCTACATAAACTTTTGCTGCAGCCAAGTTAAATGCTGCCTACAGGCTGCTAGAGAAGCGTACACAGAATGGAAGTGTATGAAATGTTTGGGGGTTTCCCCACCCCCTTTAACATGTATTTCTAGAGTTAATGAAAATGCCCACACGATATTCTGTTGGGTTTCAGGCCACATCAGCAGGACCACTTCAGGAAGACATAGTGAGTTTGAAAAAAGAATTTAAGCAAAAAAAAAGTTCTGTAAGTACAAACTTTGAAACATCTATAAAACAATAGATGGGCAATCATCTTTCCT